TAGAAAAAAATGAGCAAAATCCTGATAATGTGTGTATTATTGGGGTTTCTGAAACTTAAAAACAACTGAGTTCCCCCCCCTCCCAAGTCATTGCAAATCAGGTGCACATCCACTGAAGCCCAGCAGGGTTGCACAGAAAAACTGGACTTCTGGATTGACATTACCCAGTGACTGGGTTTTACTTGATCTTTCAGTATTCTCCAGACTTCTGATTGGAAACCCCTAGCGATGTATTTTCAGGAGGAAAAAGAAAGGCATTCTAGCATGCTTCCAGTGAACACCTTTAGCTAGTTTTCTCTGTGCGCATATAGTTTTGACCTTCCACTCGGTTAGGAAGTAGACCCTGCTTGACCCGTACGTGCGTTTGTAAATGAATGTTTTATGAACGTTTTCCACATCAGGTGGCATTTGCAGCTTTCGTGTCACACCCCCAAAGTTTTATGGCCTTCAGTTCTATGTCACTTTTGTTTAATAACCTTAATTGATTTTTTTTGCAAAGTCTTCATGGCTGACTGACTCTCTCAATTTTTCTGGAGTGGTACAGAGCATGGAATTATCCGTGTGTAACACGGTGGAGCCTGGTACTTGGATGAACAAGTGTTCTGGCTGTACTTGTGCTTTGTTGGCACAGAGACGGCTGTGTCTGTATGGACCCGAGGACTCCGGGCTTGCCAGAGAAGCCTGCTCGGGAGAGGGAGCTGGCTCCTGGAGCCAGATGTACGTCAGCGTGCAACTTGTTCCTCTTTTTCTTCCCAGCCATGTCTCAAGCGGTGCAGACGAACGGGACGCAACCTTTAAGCAAAACATGGGAGCTCAGTTTGTATGAATTGCAGCGAACGCCTCAGGTAAGACATGCTAAAGAGCTGGCCTTTATGGCAGGGCTTTTTTTTAATGCTTTTTAGAATGTGAAGCTTGACGCTTCAGATTTTTTTTTTCTGTTAGGAGTGTTAACTGCCTATTATAAATGATAGAATATTAAAAAAAAAATCCTTCCAAAACAAAACCTCTTTCATAATATTAAAAAAAAAAAAAAAGTTGTTTGATCTTTATTTATTTTTTCCTTTCTTTAGCAGCATGGGTGTGTGTGCCTGATGTGGTTGTGTATGTGTCTTGTCTTTTTACTGTGTTTGTCTTCAAAAGAATAGTAAGACATGCCATCTCTGTGAGGAAGTTACTAAATTGCATTAAACAACTTGTGCTTTATTTTACTCTAGGAAGCAATCACCGATGGCTTGGAAATAGTGGTGTCGCCTAGGAGCCTGCACAGCGAACTGATGTGTCCAATCTGTTTGGATATGTTAAAGAACACCATGACGACAAAAGAATGTTTGCATCGCTTCTGTGCTGACTGTATCATTACAGCCCTCAGGAGTGGGTATGTAAATACGATTACAGGGAAAAGGGATTTCACTTCAGATAACAATGTGATGAAGGAAATCCTTTCAGTCCTGGGTGTTGATGTGGAACAGTTACGTGCGGAACAGTTTCTGAAGGTGTAACACAGCTTTCATAGTTCAACTCGTGTGTGTTCAGCCGTCTGTGGCAGACCACATCTGTTTTTTTCCTCATACGACAAATCATCCCATAACTTTGTTTCTTGTAAGGAGTTGAAAACCTCTTTTCTCGTTTTTTTTTTTCTTTTTTATTTGTTTTTTTTAGATCCAGTAACAGCGAAAAAAAAAAAAAAATTACTTTTAAAAATGAGTCTTATTTCCCTTATTCTTCCTTTTCCTAATAATAAATTGCAAATTGTGTGCCCTTTCACCAGTAGTTATGCTTCCAAGCTTCACTACTGAAACAACCTACACTAACGTACAAATAATTTTTCTTGTATTCTTCAGTGAGAAGTTCATATTTTCCCCAAAGCAATACATTTCTGAGGTAACCAACAGCAATTAAGTCAATGATGTGTCTATTTCTGATAATGGCAATTACCTGTGTTCAGAGGTCACACTTAATTTGCTGTGCCTGTGTAAATTCTGATGAGTAATTAGCAAAAGTACATTAGAGGGAAACACGAGAAACATCAGGAGTAAAGACACCAGTGTTTCAGCTATTGAGGCCTCTTCCTCTTACAGGAAAAAAAAATTGTGTGAACCTGACATTTTAATTAAATGAGAACAAAGTGGTAGGAAGGACAAGACTGTTTCAGTTTTCCCAGTAATTAGTGCTTGAACTAGAGAATAGGGTCCCTAATCTTTGTTTTGTCTTGTGAATGCTAGAAAGACTATGCCTCAATATAATTTTCACTAGACGTGCATTTTTTTTCTAGGTGAAAATCCAGCCAGAGGGTTAAGGGAAGAACTGGTTTGCAGAGTGGAACTTTTGAACTCTTCAGCCTAAATACAGTTTGCTTAAACATACTTTAAAAAAAAAAAAGGAGGGAGAGATATGTTTAGGGTTTTTGTTTAAACATCTGGAACTACCTGATCTGTCAAAAGACAGAAGCCCCATTCCAGACTTACCATATTTAGTCTTAGTAAGCACTTTGACTAAGAATTGCAGCATTAGGGCAGACTCTTGGTATTGCCAACGAGTTAGTATTGTTTTCTTCCTTCTTACTCATCTCTAGCAACAAAGAATGTCCCACGTGTCGTAAAAAGCTAGTTTCAAAAAGATCGCTGAGACCAGATCCCAATTTTGATGCTCTCATCAGTAAAATTTATCCAAGCCGAGATGAATATGAAGCTCATCAGGAGAGAGTGCTAGCAAGAATCAGCAAGCACAATAACCAGCAAGCTTTAAGTCACAGCATTGAGGAAGGATTAAAGATTCAGGCTATGAACAGGTACGCAATCCACATAATTTGTCCACATTTTACCTTGTTTGCCTTAACACTAAAAATACACTGTCTGTCTTCACTCCCTGGATAGCTTGAGATGCTTCTTCTCTCCTCTGAAATCTGCCAGAATAATCTTTAACCTTTGGCAAAATCATTTTTCACCTTTTGTCTGCTGACAGAAACCTTTGTATCTCTCCCTGCAACTTCTGTGGCAGCCTGATGTAGACTTCATCATGTAGAAATTATGTAGATTTCAGCTTAGCTTTACCAAATTATGGCTATCATGTCTTTAGATAATAAACTGTAATACAATGAGTCCCCTACCAATGTATTACTATGAAGTGCAAATAAATGCACGTAATACCAGAACTTAGGTTTTAGTTGCACCTTAATTGACAAGGCTGGAATATAGGGTGTTTACACAGTAGTGAAATTCTGGGTGTGCATTTAAAGCTAAGAGCCAACTGGGAAAGAGGCCCCAAACTTTACGTTGTGGTGAAGCATGGTGTGATTTATATTTTCACTTGCATGTGGATTCATATTTAGATAAAAATAATGGTGTGAAATTGCCTGAAAAATAAATATAGCTGTATGAAGTTAAAAATGATCTTAAAAGATGTCTAAAAAGTGTTTGAGGGATAGGGGAAAAAACCCATAGTCTTGGCTATGAGTATCTTTTTATAAGAAAGAATGAACTTTTTTTTTTTTTTAAACTTTAAATATCTCTGAAATGTTTAGTGCTTGTGTGTGCGTATGTCCAACTTCTGGCATGACAGAGACCAGGAGAGGGAGGAGTTGTACAGGGGCATTGTGGGCCTGTACGTTGGTTGAATTCTGAATGCGGATTAGCGCTAATTTCTACCTATTTCCGCTCAGGTTACAGAGGGGCAAGAAACAACAGATTGAGAATGGAAGTGGGGCAGAAGATAACGGTGACAGTTCACACTGTAGCAATGCCTCAACACACAGCAACCAGGAAGCGGGGCCCAGTAATAAGAGGACCAAAACATCGGATGATTCTGGGCTAGAACTGGACAATAACAACACAACTGTGGCAATAGACCCCGTGATGGATGGTGCTAGTGAAATTGAACTAGTCTTCAGGCCTCATCCGACCCTCATGGAGAATGATGACAGTGCACAGACGAGGTAATGGTCTTCTATTCCTCTTCATGTATTCTGCTGTTATTTTTCCGGTGCTTTTGTTTTCTATCGCTTCTTGGGGCTTTTTAAAATCAATTTATAGAATCATAGAATCATTATGGT